CCCCCAAAACAAAATCAAGACTTTGTAAAAGAGCATAATAGGACCCCTTTGAAGCTGCATGCCAATGCAAAGTTGAAAATCCTAGTTTCAGCATAGAAGATTGGAATGATTACCATTTTAATGTTCACCCAAGCTGCATTTATTTAATCAAAAATATGTAAAAAATTTGAAATATTATTATAATTTAAAACAGCTGTTTTCTATGTGAATATCTGTTAAACTGTAATTTATTTCTGTGATGCGCAGCTGTATTTTCAGCATCATTACTCCAGTCTTCAGTGTCACATGATCTTCAGAAATCATTCTAATATGCTGATTTGCTGCTCAAGAAACATTTCTGATTATTATCAATGTTGAAAACAGTCGTGCTGCACGATATCTTTGTGGAAACTGTGATGCATTTTATTTTTCAGGATTCTTTCATGAATAGAAAGTTCAAAAGAACAGCATTTATTTGAAACGGAATTCTTTCGTAACATTATAAATGTCGTGTTCGAATAAATTTAATGCATTCTTGATTAATAAAAGCTCTTTTGAAAGGCAGTGTATCACGGTTTCCACAAATATTGTGCAGCACGACGTTTTTGTGTTTTGAACATTGATAATAATCAGAAATGTTTCTTGAGCAGCAAATCAGCATATCATGTGACACTGAAGACTGGAGTAATGATGCTGAAAATACAGAAATAAATTAGTTTAACAGATGCTATTTTAAATTTGGATCAAATAAATGCATCCTTGGTGAGCAGAAGAGACAGAAATGAGACGTGTGACTGCCAGCTGTGAACGTGCCTCTATTCTGAAACCGTAACCGGATCAGAGATTAGTTTTAACGGGGTTTTTATCTTTTCACCGCCTTGCCAACTTTACCTGTAATAGACGATCTCTGTCCCGAAGAAGGAAAGCGCTTCACACAATGCCATCGGTGCGCTTTCAGAGACCATGGTATCAGATTTCCTCCTCTAACTGCTTTCTGCTTTGTAATTATAAAGCGTTTCTCAGCATCCGTCTGAGTTTAGAGCATGTGCACGAGTGCTCGGCGTTCTGCTCGTATGGGTTTGGTCTGTAATGTATTTGTTGTTTTACAGTAACTCCATCTCCAAAGCTCGAGCTCCTCTGCTGCGCTGAAAAGACCAACATCCCTGCACTGATATATCACTCGAGTCTTACTTCTTCATGGCTTTGTCCAAGTCATCTACTATAAACCATATTCAAAGTGTTTATTGGGAAATCAGCAGATGTTAAGCATTTTTATTTGATCAAGAGAAAGCAATGCATTTATTTTTAAAGCATATGTGAAGTTTGACTTTTTATGCCATTGTAAATATCACGAGTGCTGCCTTTGCCATTATGCATTATGTTACTAAATCTGTAATGTTTTTTTTTTTAAATACTGTATCTTTATTAATACTTACAGAAATATGACCGAATGTGAATCATACTGTGTTAATCATGACTGTCTTAGACTAAAAGGACTGTTTTTTTTATTTTTAATGTAAATACCGCATACCTTTAGTTTGATGAGCAAATTTAAATCATGATTATTTCACGTGTGTATACGTATATATATATATATATATATATATATGATAGGAAAGGATTTGAGTCGTATCCCTTTTAATAAATCCTTTCTGCTATTGCAAATGTAGTTGTTGAATGAACATCATTATATATTTCTGTTTATTCGCATTTAGAAAGAAAATAATAATTTAACTCAATCAAAATCCTTTATTTAAATATAAGTTATTTAGGTTAACTTGATGGTCTAAAAGAACTAAAAATAAAACTAAGTTAATAAAACCTGAACTACTGAAAAATTATAAACGCAACAAAATTTGTAAAATTATAACTGATTTAATTAAAATTAAAACTGAAAACAACAAAAATGATTCAAAATATTAATAAAAACACAATCCTTTATTTAAATATTTATCATTTTCATTTAGGTTAACTTGTACTAAAATAACTAAACTGAAATATGTTAATAAAACCATAACTAGTAAAGAAAAAATAGCATATGAACTACTAAAAAATTCAAAAAAAATTCAAAAATAAGTAAAGCATAATTGTTCCGGTTAAGCTCATCTAATAAACTTATTTGACTAGAAATTGCTTTATGACTGCAATCTCCAAAATTATGTTTAAAAATCCTTATCCAGCTATCACAAACACATGTAAAAGTTACTTCGGGGTTGTGGGACACATGTTTATAGTTTAAAAATAGTCTAAAACTGTATAATTTGTGGTTTAGTTGACCTGTAATATGAATATTGGGTGGGGCTTGATGTCTGTTTTGTGTGCAGCTCTTATGGCAATTAATTTCAATTCTTACAGAAAATTTAAGCATGCATGTCTCCCAAAAAGAATTGCAATTCTATACGAGATAACAAATACGGGTTTAATGATTGACTCTTATATCCTTTATTTCCTGAAAAAAAGAATCGTTCATAAATAGCACACATTAAAAATTAAACAAAAATAAATTATTTAAAACGGACACGACTGTGTGAAATGTGGAAATGATTCTAAAGTCTTGGGAACAGTTTCAAAATTATATTTTGAACTCAAAGGTGCTGAAAGAAATGCAGCAGCTGTTTCACGCGGGAGGCTTTTATCTTAAAAAGAATCAAATAATTAGAGGGTTTTCGTGCTTAGCGTTCGCTGTATGGAGACAGCTGCCAAAACACAATGAAACAAAAGGCGGTTTGATTACGTAACTTTCGCGCCACCGTCACCGCCCGCCTTTCCCTTTAAATCGATGTAAACATTATGCGCGGGAGACGTTAAACTGCAGGAAACAACGCGAGCGAACTGTACAGCAGGGTTGCCAGGTTTACACAACAAAACCCGCCCACTTGCGTTTCGAGGGGGAGGGTCCTCCGGTTAAAAAAAATTAAAATCGCGTTCAGGAGGGTAAAATACACGTTTTTTTTTTGGGCGGGGTTCCCCTGGTAAAATTCGCATTTTAGGGGCTAAATATCACGTTATTGGGGTCGCTTAAACACGCGGCAGCAACAGTGTTAAAGTAGCCCAATTCCGCGGGAAACCCGCAGACTTGGCAACACTGCCGTACAGTAAACAACGAGCCATGTGATTGGACAACCGTTGCGTCCGTCAGAAAGAGCGCGCGCTGCCATATTTAAAAAGTGTCGCGGCGTCAAGGCACGATTCGCGATCTGTGATTGGCTGCGCGAAGGTCACGGCGTCTGCCATTGGTTCGTTCTCTGCGCACGGCGCCAGCGCCGTAACCTCCTCTTCGCTGATTGGCTGGGCGCCGCGCTCGGGCGCGATTTCCAACGCGGGAAACTACCGAGTGAGTTCGGATCACCGTATCAACTCCTGCCAGAGAGATCGCAGGACAAGAACGGAATCAAAGGCGCCGCGTTCTGGAACAGCGATACACTGGGAATGACTGACTTTATAACACAGCGACTAACGGCGGCACGTTAACGGCGGGATATTCCTCCAACTGCACTTATTTACACTTTCACATTTTTAACTAAGCTTCATTTTAACCGAACGTTATTTGCGATGGCTGACAGCAAACATCAAGTGATATTTTGTAACGACTCGCCGAAAAGAGTTCTGGTGTCCGTGATCAAGACGACTCCCATCAAACCGAAAGCGGCGGACTCTCTGATGCCCACCAGCCCCGGATTCAGCGACTTCATGGTGTATCCGTGGCGCTGGGGTGAAAACGCGCACAATGTGACTCTGAGCCCCGGATCTGGCAGCGGAACCGCCTCGCCGACCCGAAACAGCGGCTCTCCCGCCGAATCAGATGAACACCTCAAGGTGAGAGTCAAACTAAATCGCTATACTGTACTAGTAATGCGTACTATAGTAAAACATACTGTGTTATATAACACAAGTGCACTATTATATATTTATTAGCACGTATTATTGCTAAGCGAAGTGATTTTGAGGTTCAGTCCGGTTTAGCGCGTATATTATAACCGTTACATTAACACGCCAACTGTAAAAGGCGCGCTTTGAACGGGATTTAAATTCTCCTTGGAAGTTAGGCGTGACGTCAGACGTGCGCGCCAAAATGTTAGGGATTATGCTTCTAGAAAACTCCACTTACCTCAAAACGACTGTTAACGCGATAATATTTACACGTTTGCTTGACTGTAAAACGTATTTTGTTAGTGTCCCGCTTGAAATGATACGTTTTTACTCAAAACGTACATTAATAGACATTTATGTTAGAATCATTATTATACTCTTATACCTTTTGTTCTTTAATATTATGAATTGTTTTTAGCTTTATTTTTTGTTTTTCATTTAAATGTTAAGTTTTGAAATTTTGTTGTGTGCATTTGTCATTTTTATTTACTCTCTTTATTTTTAAAATGTGTATAGGTAGTATTTATAAAGTTTTAGCTTTTAGTTTTGGATCTGTTTTTAGTTGTTTTAATACTACAATTGATTGCTTCTGTTGTCCTCATTTGTAAGTCGCTTTGGATAAAAGCGTCTGATAAATGACTAAATAAAAAATAAAATAAAACATTTCTTAAAAGTTTTTCCGTTGGAAAATGTAACTTTTTTTTAAAAATTATTATCAAGTATCAGTTTGAAAGATTGCATATAATTGTTATTTTTATTTACTTTTGTTAATATTGGTAAATTATTGTATACTAGTCATTTAAGTATTATTATTAATACTATTTTAAAAGTTTTATTTTTGAGTTTGCCGTAAAATTATAAATAAATATACAATATTTACGTAATTATGACATGTCACTATCCATATGACGTAGAATTAGATATTATTGTGGTGTTATTTTAGTATGTGTTAACACTTTTTATTTTAAGGTGTTCTTGTTACACTTTACGTGCTTACTCTATTATAATAACAATTAATTATGCATAATTACATGCAAGTAACCCTAAGCCAAACACTAATCCTAACCATATAGTAAGTACATGTAGTTCATTAATATTACTCAGTACTTAAATGTATAATTACACTGTAACAAGCACACCTTAAAATAAACTGTAACCATAAATATGTGGTGTTTTAATATGCTATTATTATTGTGTAATTACAATGTTTTATTTGTTTATTACATATGGCACTTTATGTATAACATTATTGGATCATTATTTATATTTAATATGTGCCACTGTTTTGTATTAATAAAATATTACCTTTTATACAGTGTTTCATTGTCAAAGTCAAAGTGTGTTTTCAGTATTATTTAATTTTATTGATTTATTTTGTATTCCAATGTATTTTTACTTTTTGTAAAATGCTTTGAGATGCAACTTTTAATGGCGCTATAAAAAAAATACAGTTTATAATTATTATTCTCTTGCAGTAAGTAAAGCCATTATTTTACAATACAGATTGTTTCAAAGCAGCTTCACAGTATCAAACAAGAAAGAAAATAACAGTATTAATGTTGCAAAATGCATCAATAATGAAAACAAACTGAATTTCAGTTGTAAAGCAGCTCTTAAAAAGACAATAGTGTTGTTATTCAGATCAGTTCAGTGTGGCTGAAAAAGATGAATAAATAAGCTTTCCATTGATGTATGGTTTGTTAGGATCGGACAATATTTGAAAATCTGGAATCTGAGGGTGCAAAAAAAATCTAAATATTGAGAAAATCATCTTTAAAGTTGTTTAATGAAGTTCTTAGCAATGCATATTACTAATCAAAAATATGTCAGTATATCATCATAAACACAGCTGTTTTTTGTCTTAAGTGAACATAAACACTTGTCTTAAGTGGACGCAGAACGAAAACACACTTGTACAGTATTTTTAGATCTGCGTGCATTCGGTGTTAAAGAGACAGCAGCCTAATAAACGCACTGCCTGTCGTTAATGTTAATCGAAGAACAAAAGAAAATCATTCACTCATCTTGACTGAATATCTTGAATAAATGTAATTAATAATCTACATTATGCAGTGTTTTTAAACTTGTAATTATTGTTTCTGTACCTGAAATTGGGTTCAGTTGTATTTATTTATGCTATTGCTAATTGATTTGTTTGTTCCTATTTTATTACTGACTGATTACTTGTCTTTAACACTTTAATATTTGAAATTTATAGTCTTAATTGTTTTTGCTGTGGTATTTTTTTAAAGCATAGGCAAAAGTTCCTCTTGTAGGCCTAAGTGTTTTGTAGGCTTTTTGGGGATTTTTTTTTATCTTATTGGAATCGGAACTAGGAATCGATAAGAATCGGAATCTATAAAATTAAAATGATACCCAACCCTATTGCTTTCACTAAACCGCATTACAAACACAAGTAGTATGAACTAGTTTCTCTAGTGTTCACTCTAGTGATTTAGCTGCCAATCAACGCGATTTTTCAGATTTTATCGGTTAATTTAGAATTGAATGTTTTGCCACGATTTAATTTTTTATAGATTTTTCAGATTTTATCGGTTAATTTAGAATTTAATGTTTTGCCACGATTTTATTTTTCGTAAATCAAGGAATCACGGTTTTGAATAGTAATAATAATATATGAATAGTTACATTTTTAATTTGACTAGTTAAAAATAGTATAAAATAAATAAAAAATCGAGTCAATCAAATGTTGTGAAAAAAAATCAAGATTTTTATTTATTTATTTTTTTGCCATATTGCCCATCCCTAATGATAACTATATTAGCATCCACACCAATGCACGCTAACTTTTTGTTTATTATAAAGCAATGCATTTGTCATCTGCTTTAAATGTTCAGATGAATTCTGATTGGCTGTCAATATTTTTATTGTTCGTCAGTTTAAAAAAAGTTGCTCTGAAAGTGATTTCAACAACATCGTTCATTTGTGTCGTTATCATTATAGTTGTGATGTTGACTGTTCTTTTACATTTAATACAAATTTTAAACTATATCTTTATCATTATAGTTATTGTCCTAGTTGTGAGCGGCCCTTAAAGGGCACCTATTATGCAAAATTCACGTTTACATGTTGTTTGAACATAAATGTGTGTTAGCAGTGCGTGTACACAACCACCCTATAATGATAAAAATCCACCCGCTCGTTTTTTTTTTTTAAATCTCTAAATCATGAGCAGTGTCTCAGAGCTTACTGATCACAGAATCCATAAAGTGTGACATCACACTTTACAAGCCCCGCCCACGATAGTTGATTGACACAGCCGTGTTAGCCGAGACCCCGCCCCTGCCATGTTTATCTTCACGCCAGAGCATTTAAAAGCAGCATTCAAGTAAGAAATGTCTTCATATTAGAGCTATAGAAGTTGTTCAGTTGGGAGCAGTGAGTGATTTTCTGCTTTTATTTTATTGTTTGGGTCATATTAACAGCGTAGACCCAAACAGCGGTACTGTATATTATGCTGCTGTCACTTAATACACCGATCTAATATAGACATTCGATTTCTTTCCCAGCTGTTTAACTTCACAGACATAACCAACTGTGTTTTTGTAACTTATTAACATAAACTTGTGTGTGAAAGAGAACTTTTTTTAGTACTCAAAAAACGTATATCAGAAATTTAAACTGATATGGCTTTACAACGCGTGATTTCAGCGCGATATACATTATAATCAAAACCAAACAGATGTTTTTTGTCAGATACGAGCTAAAATTGCACAGTCCTGTTCTGGGAAAGGGGGCGGGGAGCAGCAGCTCATTTGCATTTAAAGAGACACGCACAAAAACAGCGTGTTTCTGCTTCCACTCAAAATAGGCATTTTCTAAATGATATAATAAATTATCTGTGGAGTATTTTGAGCTGAAACTTCACAAACAGAGAAAATGTCTAAAAAATGCCCCCCTCAAATTAAAACATCCCCTCTCACAAGAGTCACCTAAGAGGGGAATTAATTTTCAAAAATGAAATTCAGGCCCTGAATAAATGTCTAAAAATCTTGATTGGATCATCACTATAAATAATTCTACATGATAAAAATAAGGCTTTAATAAGATCGTATTCTGCTTTCTGTGATCGGCCTCAAAAATCCTGATCGGAGCACCCCTAGTAAACACCTTAATCATAATATTGTTTTATTCAGAATAAGGTAAATAATTAGATTACCGATGTCCAAGTAGATAGGGTTGCAAAGGGGCGGAAAATTCCAGGTAAGTTTCCATGGGAACTTCATCTGGGGAATTTTGGAAATATTCCAAGTTTGAAACTTGCCAGGAATTTTTGGGAATTAATTGGAAATTTGGGGAAATTTATAAAACTATCATATATAAACATAAATATAAACATCTTGTTTGATCATAGGCTCACGTGCATGCAAACTAATAAAAATTTTAAAAATGACTTTTTTGGGGGGGGGGATCTGTGATGCTTTTTTCAGGATTTATTGATGAATGAAAACTTGTGAACAGTGTTTATTCAAAATAGAAATCTTTTCTAACAATATAAGTCTTTACTATTACTTTTTATTAATTTAACACATCGTTGTTGAATAAAAGTATTAATTTATTTCAAAAAAAGAGAAAAGATACTGACCCCAAACTCTTGAATGGTAGTGTATTGTTAAAAAAGGATTTCTATTTTAAATAAACGGTGTTCGTTTTTTAACTCTTTATTCATCAAAGATGAAAAAAGAATCACAGGTAATAAAAAAAAAATTTAAACAGCAGTAAACGTAGTCAGTGATACTCAATAACACTGGTTTGTTGATGTGTGTTTCAAAGCTTTGTTTTAATCCTCGTGTTTCAGGTTGCAGTAGCCGATTCACGCATGCTAACCGTCACTGTCCCAAACACCCATACGCTCGGCTGAAGCGCGAGGAGCCCGCGGGTGGCTCCGGGAAATCACAGGGAGCTGACAACAAGGCTGTGGCCGAATGGCTGGCGAAGTGAGTAAAACATCAACACACACTCCAAGGGCTGTCAAAAAAAAAATAAAATCTAAATTTCGAATATTCGTCGAATTTAACCCGTTTAATAAAGCAAGAAGCCGTGGTTTACCGTGAATTTATAACAGCTAAGGGGCATTGTTAGACCCCCTAAAACCCCCTTAGCTGTTATAAATTCACTGTAAACCACGGCTTCACGGGGCTTATTGCTTTTATAAAACGGTTATTCCATATACGTAGTAAGATTTCACAAAATAAAACAGAGCAAATAAAGTGTAATGATATTAATAAAAACATTATTCTTCCACTAAACAATGTAGCTCAATGTAGTTGTGGTTGCAACAAAGTGGTTGCCGAGCAACACACAAACGTAAACAAAGGTGTATGTTACTTTGTAGAGTCATTTACAACAGCTTCGAACGCGGCTCAGCCAATCAGAATCAAGCACCGGAACTCTCCGCTTTATAATCCCTTTTTTTTCCCCAGACATGAAAATGACATGTAAATGATGTGTCATTAGTAGCCCTTTAAAATAAACAAAATATTTTGGGGGGGAAAAGTGTGTGAAAAATTGGTCGGTCACAACTGGTGGGATAATGTGTGTACTGAATTAACATATTTCTGCTGTCAAAAAAATTGTTATATGTGACCCTGGAGCACAAAACCAGTAATAAGGGTCAATTTTTTCAACTTGAGATTTATACATCATCTGAAAGCTGAATAAATAAGCTTTCCATTGCTGTATGGTTTGTTAGGATAGGACAATATTTGGCCGAGATACAACTATTTGTAAATCTGGAATCTGAGGGTGCAAAAAAATCTAAATATTGAGATAACATAAAATAACATATTTTTCTTAAAGGGGTCATATGATGCGATTTCATTTTTTCCTTTCTCTTTAGAGTGTTACAAGCTCTTGGTGCATAAAGAAGATCTGTAAAGTTGCAAAGACTAAAGTCTCAAATCCAAAGAGATATTCTTTATAAAAGTTAAGAGTTAGCCACACCTACCTAAAACGGCTCGTTCGAACACGCCCCCACATACCTACCTCACTATGTGGGAAGATTTGCATAAAGCCGCCCAAATGTTCACGCAAAGAAAGAAAGCGTAACTTTTATTCTCGCTGTAGTATTGTAGTTTCAGACCGATTAGTTTTGTAAAAATCACGCGTTTCAAAAGGGCGGGGCATAGAGGAGAAACAATAATGTACAGTATGTGGAAAATAATGTGTTTTTTAAACTTTAAACCGCATAAACACATTTCATTACACCAAATACACAAAATAATGTTCTTTTTAGCAGCATCATATGACCCCTTTAAATATGTACATGCATGTGTGTGTGTATTTATATATACTTAATAAATACACAGTATATTATATAAACAAAAACTTTTATTTTGGATGCGATTGATCGAGTCTATTTTTATTTATTTATCATTTTATGGTTTTAGTTGTGCATTAATGAGCGTGAAGGTCTATCAGAGTGACAGTGTTTGTGTTTGTGTTGTCAGATACTGGCAGATGAGAGAGCAGCGGACGCCCGCGCCGACTAAAGCAAAGACTCTGAGTAAGACCACTATAGAGGACCAGGAGCAGCAGGACCCTCTGGACTTCCTGCCGTCTGATGAAGGTGAAGAAGAGGAGCAGGACGAAGAGAAGAGCGGCGGCGGTACGGCGCGGAGGCGTCTCCAGGAGCAGCGCGAGCGTCTTCACGGTGCACTAGCGCTCATCGAGCTGGCTAACAATCTCTCCGCATGAGAAACGCCAGCGACTTCCCTCGCGTCTGAGACCCTCCTGGGTTCATATAAGCTACAAGCACCTTATTTTGCTTCCTGTTGTACCTTTAGGCTGCTATGATGGTAGTGATATCATTATATGAAGAATGTCGTCGTTTTCTCAGCTTGTTAAGGAGATGATGAGACGTCTCGTGTTCGTTTCGTCGTGCACTTTTGTTGGAAAGAGTGTTTGTTCGTTTCTTTGGGGTGTGTGTGTGTGTGTGTGTGAGTGAGTGAGTGTGTGTGTGAGTGTGTGTGTGTGTGTGTGTGTGTG